TCTTGCAGCTACATCCGGTTAAATATGTCATGTGACTTGAACGCACACACACACACACACACACACACACACACACACACACAGTCACACACACACACGCACACACACACACTCAGAGTCTGGTTTTTAGCACCTGCAAAAACATGCTATTTACATATTTGACAAGAATGCAGAGGCTCCTTTTGCCCCTGAAAAAAATCAAATTTCAAACACAACTTGACTGGTCATTTCTCCAAAAGACAACCATGAAGCTCCATCCAAACCTGAAGCAGGCAGTTGGTGCATGTGTACAGTAACCTGAGGGGAGTGAGTTGACTGCTTCTGAGGAGAACATGAGCAGTGAAGATTCACCTTAGAGCTAGAACAGAGACGTGCACATGATTATACAGGGGCAGGGGCTCAAGTTTTTTCCAGTTGTTTATACAATATGGAAATTAATGTGAAATTAAAAAACAAAGTATTAATAGAAAGGTAATGACTGTCCTGTGTAGGTGACAGTGATATCCAATAGGCTAGGCACTCACGAGGCTGGCTGTGGCAAGTGTAAGTGAAAGCAACACGCACTGGCAGGAAGAACAGCAAACGCCGATGAAGGAAAAGGGTCTTTGCAGTGATGGGCGTTACCAGAGAGGGCGATGGCCAGAGGACACAAATGGGACGGGGAGGCAGCGCGTTGGGGGGGGGGACGCGACACGGCTCGGGCCCGCCAGTGCCCCAACGGGGTCCTAGTTCTTTCTTTCTTTCTTCTTTTTCCTCCCCTTTGAACTGGAAAATGGCCCACTTCCCACTGGCGAAAACTCATGAAATTTGGCAGGACGACCGGGCCTGGTGAAAAATTCGATATTCTGAAGTCGCCCAAACAATAAAATGCAAAATGGCTCCATAGCGCCCCCTAAGGTGGAAATTCACACTATTGACTGTCACGCCTGTACGCTTTGTCATATTGACACAAAAATTGACACACATATGTATCTCAATAAGATCTACAAAAAAGTCAGTGCGGCCGTATCTGTCAAAATTACGGTTAAAGGGTTATTTCGCATTTTTTGCCGATCCGCACACATTGGAATTTCGCTAACTCCTCCGAAGGCTTTCGTTCCACCGGCACCACATTTGCTCAGGCCAATCTACACCCCGTGGCCATTAAAAGTTATCAAAATCATGACGCTGCACCCCAAGGTTTAGGTTCTAGGGGGCGCCAAAGATAACACTAAAATCCACATATTTAAAAGTCTTATAACTTTTTATTTTTGTCCTCACTGGCCTCCAAGTTTTCTAGGATGATGCAATGTCCAGCCATCAACACATTTGTGAAGGAATTTTTACTCCCCAAAAGAGCGCCCCCCCATGGCAGGAGAAAAAAGTCCATTTTTTCTTGTCCCCTAAGGTGAAAATACACATTGTTGAGTGTCACGCCTATACGCTTTGTCAAAATGACACAAAAATTGACACACACATGTAACTCAATAAGATCTACAAAAAAGTCCATGCGCGCGTATCTGTCAAATGTACAGTTAAAGGGTTATTCCGCATTTTTTGCCGATACGCACACATTGGAATTTCGCTAACTCCTCCGAAGGCTTTCGTTCCACCGGCACCACATTTGCTCAGGCCAATCTACACCCCATGGCCATTAAAAGTTATTCAAATCATGATGCTGCACCCCATGGTTTAGGTTCTAGGGGGCGCCAAAAATAACCCAAAAATCCACATTCTTAAATGTTTTATAACTTTTTATTTTTGTCCTCACTGGCCTCCAAGTTTTCTAGGATGATGCAATGTCCAGCCATCAACACATTTGTGAAGGAATTTTTACTCCCCAAAAGAGCGCCCCCCCATGGTAGAGGAAAAAAGTCGATTTTTTCTTGTCCCCTTACATAAAAATACACATTGTTGAGTGTCACGCCTGAACGCTTTGTCATATTGACACAAAAATTGACAATCATGTGTATCTCAATTAGATCTACGAAAAAGTCAAAGAGCGCGTATCTGTATAATGTACGGTTAAAGGGCTATTTTGCATTTTTTGCCGATTCGCACACATTGGAATGTGGCTATCTCCTCCTAAGGCTTTCGTCCCACCGATACCAAATTTGCTCAGGGCAATCTACACCCCATGCCCATTCAAAGTTGTAAAAATCATGACGCTGCACCCCACGGTTTACGTTCTAGGGGGCGCCAAAGATGACCCAAAAATCCACATTCTTAAAAGTCATTTTGGCCACTGCAGGAGTACAGAGTACTGCAGTTCTAGGGGGCGCCAAAGATGACCCAAAAATCCACATTCTTAAAAGTCATTTTGGCCACTGCAGGAGTACAGAGTACTGCAGGATACACACACATATACACACACGCCAACATACACACACACACACACACACACACACACACAGACACACACACACACTCAGAGTCTGTTTTTTAGCACCTGCAAAAACATGCTGTTTACATATTTGACAAGAATGCAGAGGCTTCCTTTTGCCCCTGAAAAAAATCAAATTTCAAACACAACTTGACTGGTCATTTCTCCAAAAGACAACCATGAAGCTCCATTTCAAACCTGAAGCAGATAGTTGGTGCATGTGTACAGTAACCTGAGGGGAGTGAGGTGACTATTTCTGAGGAGAACATGAGCAGTGAAGATTCACCTTGGAGCTAGAACAGGGACGTGCACATGATTATACAGGGGCAGGGGCTCAAGTTTTTTCCAGTCATTTATACAATATGGAAATTAATGTGAAATTAAACCACAAATATGTGTGATGAACTGTTTTTAAAACTTAAACTTCAAATAAAAATTGTAAACTTCAAAACATATGCAAATTTTTAACAAAGAACATAGTAATTTACCTCTATTTACATCAAAATGCAGGCAATGGCCCAGGCGTTCTTTGTAAAATTATTTACAAATCACTGTATAGTCTCACAAATGTCACTTTTTATTTATGCCACTACAAAAAAACATGATGTAAATGATGCATGATGTAAAACATGATGTAAAAAACTTGTGTAGATCCTCCTCTATGTCAGTCCATGTGTAATTTTTCCATAATTCTTTGTTTTTTGCAGCATTTTTAGGGCCCGAGCCAGCTGCAGAGCAGCCGGGCGTAGGCCCTATTATTCCCCAAGTGGTTTTTCTTTGTTTCTTTCTTTCTTTCTTTAGGGCCCGAGCGTAGCTGCTAAGCAGCTGCGAGAGCCCTATTATTCCCCAAGGGGTTTTTCTTTGTTTCTTTTTTCTTTTTCCTCCCCTTTGAACTGGAAAATGGCCCACTTCCCACTGGCGAAAACTCATGAAATTTGGCAGGACGACCGGGCCTGGTGAAAAATTTGATATTCCGAAGTCGCCCAAACAAGAAAATGCAAAATGGCTCCATAGCGCCCCCTAAGGTGAAAATTCACACTATTGAGTGTCACGCCTGTACGCTTTGTCAAAATGACACAAAATTTGACACACACATGTATCTCAATAAGATCTACAAAAAAGTCAGTGCGGGCATATCTGTCAAATGTACGGTTAAAGGGTTATTTCGCATTTTTTGCCGATCCGCACACATTGGAATTTCGCTAACTCCTCCGAAGGCTTTCGTTCCACCGGCACCACATTTGCTCAGGCCAATCTACACCCCATGGCCATTAAAAGTTATTCAAATCATGACGCTGCACCCCACGGTTTAGGTTCTAGGGGGCGCCAAAGATAACCCTAAAATCCACATATTTAAAAGTCTTATAACTTTTTATTTTTGCCCTCACTGGCCTCCAAGTTTTCTAGGATGATGCAATGTCCAGCCATCAACACATTTGTGAAGGAATTTTTACTCCCCAAAAGAGCGCCCCCCCATGGCAGGAGAAAAAAGTCCATTTTTTCTTGTCCCCTAAGGTGAAAATACACATTGTTGAGTGTCACGCCTGTACGCTTTGTCAAAATGACACAAAAATTGACACACACATGTATCTCAATAAGATCTACAAAAAAGTCAAAGCGCGCGTATCTGTCAAATGTACGGTTAAAGGGTTATTCCGCATTTTTTGCCGATTCGCACACATTGGAATTTCGCTAACTCCTCCGAAGGCTTTCGTTCCACCGGCACCACATTTGCTCAGGCCAATCTACACCCCATGGCCATTAAAAGTTATTCAAATCATGACGCTGCACCCCACGGTTTACGTTCTAGGGGGCGCCAAAGATAACCCAAAAATCCACATTTTTAAAAGTCTTATAACTTTTTATTTTTGTCCTCACTGGCCTCCAAGTTTTCTAGGACGATGCAATGTCCAGCCATCAACACATTTGTGAAGGAATTTTTACTCCCTAAAAGAGCGCCCCCCCATGGCAGGAGAAAAAAGTCCATTTTTTCTTGTCCCCTAAGGTGAAAATACACATTGTTGACTGTCACGCCTGTACGCTTTGGCAAAATGACACAAAAATTGACAATCATGTGTATCTCAATTAGATCTACGAAAAAGTCAAAGAGCGCGTATCTGTATAATGTACGGTAAAAGGGCTATTTTGCATTTTTTGCCGATTCGCACACATTGGAATTTCGCTAACTCCTCCTAAGGCTTTCGTCCCACTGACACCAAATTTGCTCAGGCCAATCTACACTCCATGGCCATTCAAAGTTGTAAAAATCATGACGCTGCACCCCACGGTTTACGTTTTAGGGGGCGCCAAAGATGACCCAAATATACATTACAGTAGACAAAGTAGTTTTGCCCACTGAGTGGCGCCAAAGGGACTTGTCTGTGGAGTCTGTGAGTCACTATTGGCCGTTTTTGACTACTTTAGATTTTACCTTTATATTTCCTCTTACAAAATTTTTACCTTGCCTTGCCTGGTATCATTTTTTTCAGCACAACCTCACCTGTGTCAATTTACAGTTATTTTATCATTTTGACATACTATATTTATACATTGGACCCAAATTCACACACAAAACATAAAATCCGAGTGGAAAAAAGTAACGTTTTTACTGTGAAAACCACAAATATGTGTGATGAACTGTTTTTAAAACTTAAACTTCAAATAAAAATTGTAAACTTCAAAACATATGCAAATTTTTAACAAAGAACATAGTGATTTACCTCTATTTTCATCAAAATGCAGGCAATGGCCCAGGTGTTCTTTGTAAAATTATTTACAAAACACTGTATAGTCTCACAAATGTCACTTTTTATTTATGCCACTACAAAAAAACATGATATAAATGATGCATGATGTAAAACATGATGTAAAAAACTTGTGTAGATCCTCCTCTATGTTAGTCCATGTGTAATTTTTCCATAATTCTTTGTTTTTTGCAGCATTTTTGTTAGTGTAACTGCAGATTGTGCTGACAGTGTCTATGGCAAAAAAAAAAAAAAAAAACTGAAAATGCCTCAACATGAACCCCTGGTGGTCTCTGAGGGTGAAACCTGCTAACTGCTGCAGCTCTGTCAGCTTCAGTCTCCCATGCAGAGCTCGGAGCGCATGTGTGGCTCTGCACCCTTAGCAGCGTTGCTAACTCCTCAGTAAGGAAAGCCTGCTTCATGTCAGAGTCTCTAAACTCCAGAAGAAGTCGATAAAAGTCCCTTTCTTTCTAAAAAAAAAGTCGTTAGGGGGTCTGAAAAGTCATTGAATCTAACAACAAAGTCGCTAGGTTTGCAACTACGTGTCCCAGACTGCATCCCTGCTGAGAGTCCCTCCCTCCCTTCTCATGTTGCAGGAAGAACGTAAGCACCCGCCCCTTGTCAATCAGTCACCATATAATTTTGGATTGGTTGTTGTGGTGAAGTTTTCCACCAATAGGAGAGATGTTGTGGTGTGTTTTTTTTTTCTTTTGGCAAGCCTTTTCCGCCTGTAAGACCTGTCGCTAATGTCTGCATGCTATGTTTTCCTGTCTCATACAGCGCGATCGAGCGCCGAACGTGATCAAAATAAGCAGAAAAAAAGTATCGCGGACATAATTTATCATAATTCTGGTTTTATTTGGCCTATCAACACAATTTAAAAACTGGTATATAGGTTGAGGTCCTCACTTTTGAGATAAGTTGAAACGGAGAGTCAACGAGGCTCCGTCTTGCAGCTACATCCGGTTAAATATGTCATGTGACTTCAACGCACACACACACACACGCACACACACACACACACACACACACACAGACACACACACACACACACACACTCAGAGTCTGGTTTTTAGCACCTGCAAAAACATGCTATTTACATATTTGACAAGAATGCAGAGGCTCCTTTTGCCCCTGAAAAAAATCAAATTTCAAACACAACTTGACTGGTCATTTCTCCAAAAGACAACCATGAAGCTCCATCCAAACCTGAAGCAGGCAGTTGGTGCATGTGTACAGTAACCTGAGGGGAGTGAGGTGACTGCTTCTGAGGAGAACATGAGCAGTGAAGATTCACCTTAGAGCTAGAACAGAGACGTGCACATGATTATACAGGGGCAGGGGCTCAAGTTTTTTCCAGTTGTTTATACAATATGGAAATTAATGTGAAATTAAAAAACAAAGTATTAATAGAAAGGTAATGACTGAATGACTAGAAAGGTAATGACTGTCCTGAGTAGGTGACAGTGATATCCAATAGGCTGATATCCAATAGGCTCAAGAGGCTGGCTGTGGCAAGTGTAAGTGAAAGCAACACGCACTGGCAGGAAGAACAGCAAACGCCGATGAAGGAAAAGGGTCTTTGCAGTGATGGGCGTTACCAGAGAGGGCGATGGCCAGAGGACACAAATGGGACGGGGAGGCAGCGCGTTGGGGGGGGGACGCGACACAGCTCGGGCCCGCCAGTGCCCCAACGGGGTCCTAGTTAGGGCCCGAGCCAGCTGCAGAGCAGCCGGGCGTAGGCCCTATTATTCCCCAAGTGGTTTTTCTTTGTTTCTTTCTTTCTTTCTTTCTTTCTTCTTTTTCCTCCCCTTTGAACTGGAAAATGGCCCACTTCCCACTGGCGAAAACTCATGAAATTTGGCAGGACGACCGGGCCTGGTGAAAAATTCGATATTCTGAAGTCGCCCAAACAATAAAATGCAAAATGGCTCCATAGCGCCCCCTAAGGTGGAAATTCACACTATTGACTGTCACGCCTGTACGCTTTGTCATATTGACACAAAAATTGACACACATATGTATCTCAATAAGATCTACAAAAAAGTCAGTGCGGCCGTATCTGTCAAAATTACGGTTAAAGGGTTATTTCGCATTTTTTGCCGATCCGCACACATTGGAATTTCGCTAACTCCTCCGAAGGCTTTCGTTCCACCGGCACCACATTTGCTCAGGCCAATCTACACCCCGTGGCCATTAAAAGTTATCAAAATCATGACGCTGCACCCCAAGGTTTAGGTTCTAGGGGGCGCCAAAGATAACACTAAAATCCACATATTTAAAAGTCTTATAACTTTTTATTTTTGTCCTCACTGGCCTCCAAGTTTTCTAGGATGATGCAATGTCCAGCCATCAACACATTTGTGAAGGAATTTTTACTCCCCAAAAGAGCGCCCCCCCATGGCAGGAGAAAAAAGTCCATTTTTTCTTGTCCCCTAAGGTGAAAATACACATTGTTGAGTGTCACGCCTATACGCTTTGTCAAAATGACACAAAAATTGACACACACATGTAACTCAATAAGATCTACAAAAAAGTCAGTGCGCGCGTATCTGTCAAATGTACAGTTAAAGGGTTATTCCGCATTTTTTGCCGATACGCACACATTGGAATTTCGCTAACTCCTCCAAAGGCTTTCGTTCCACCAACACCACATTTGCTCAGGCCAATCTACACCCCATGGCCATTAAAAGTTATTCAAATCATGATGCTGCACCCCATGGTTTAGGTTCTAGGGGGCGCCAAAGATAACCCAAAAATCCACATTCTTAAATGTTTTATAACTTTTTATTTCTGTCCTCACTGGCCTCCAAGTTTTCTAGGATGATGCAATGTCCAGCCATCAACACATTTGTGAAGGAATTTTTACTCCCCAAAAGAGCGCCCCCCCATGGTAGGAGAAAAAAGGCAATTTTTTCTTGTCCCCTTACATAAAAATACACATTGTTGAGTGTCACGCCTGAACGCTTTGTCATATTGACACAAAATTTGACAATCATGTGTATCTCAATTAGATCTACGAAAAAGTCAAAGAGCGCGTATCTGTATAATGTACGGTTAAAGGGCTATTTTGCATTTTTTGCCGATTCGCACACATTGGAATGTGGCTATCTCCTCCTAAGGCTTTCGTCCCACCGATACCAAATTTGCTCAGGGCTATCTACACCCCATGCCCATTCAAAGTTGTAAAAATCATGACGCTGCACCCCACGGTTTACGTTCTAGGGGGCGCCAAAGATGACCCAAAAATCCACATTCTTAAAAGTCATTTTGGCCACTGCAGGAGTACAGAGTACTGCAGTTCTAGGGGGCGCCAAAGATGACCCAAAAATCCACATTCTTAAAAGTCTTTTTGGCCACTGCAGGAGTACAGAGTACTGCAGGATACACACACATATACACACACGCCAACATACACACACACACACACACACACACACACACACACACACAGACACACACACACACTCAGAGTCTGTTTTTTAGCACCTGCAAAAACATGCTGTTTACATATTTGACAAGAATGCAGAGGCTTCCTTTTGCCCCTGAAAAAAATCAAATTTCAAACACAACTTGACTGGTCATTTCTCCAAAAGACAACCATGAAGCTCCATTTCAAACCTGAAGCAGATAGTTGGTGCATGTGTACAGTAACCTGAGGGGAGTGAGGTGACTATTTCTGAGGAGAACATGAGCAGTGAAGATTCACCTTGGAGCTAGAACAGGGACGTGCACATGATTATACAGGGGCAGGGGCTCAAGTTTTTTCCAGTCATTTATACAATATGGAAATTAATGTGAAATTAAACCACAAATATGTGTGATGAACTGTTTTTAAAACTTAAACTTCAAATAAAAATTGTAAACTTCAAAACATATGCAAATTTTTAACAAAGAACATAGTAATTTACCTCTATTTACATCAAAATGCAGGCAATGGCCCAGGCATTCTTTGTAAAATTATTTACAAAACACTGTATAGTCTCACAAATGTCACTTTTTATTTATGCCACTACAAAAAAACATGATGTAAATGATGCATGATGTAAAACATGATGTAAAAAACTTGTGTAGATCCTCCTCTATGTCAGTCCATGTGTAATTTTTCCATAATTCTTTGTTTTTTGCAGCATTTTTGTTAGTGTAACTGCAGATTGTGCTGACAGTGTCTATGGCACAAAAAAAAAAAAAAATTAAAATGCCTCAACATGAACCCCTGGTGGTCTCTGAGGGTGAAACCTGCTAACTGCTGCAGCTCTGTCAGCTTCAGTCTCCCATGCAGAGCTCTGAGCGCATGTGTGGCTCTGCACCCTTAGCAGCGTTGCTAACTCCTCAGTATGGAAAGCCTGCTTCATGTCAGAGTCTCTAAACTCCAGAAGAAGTCGATAAAAGTCCCTTTCTTTCTAAAAAAAAGTCGTTAGGGGGTCTGAAAAGTCATTGAATCTAACAACAAAGTCGCTAGGTTTGCAACTACGTGTCCCAGACTGCATCCCTGCTGAGAGTCCCTCCCTCCCTTCTCATGTTGCAGGAAGAACGTAAGCGCCCGCCCCTTGTCAATCAGTCACCATATAATTTTGGATTGGTTGTTGTGGTGAAGTTTTCCACCAATAGGAGAGATGTTGTGGTGTGTTTTTTTTTTCTTTTGGCAAGCCTTTTCCGCCTGTAAGACCTGTCGCTAATGTCTGCATGCTATGTTTTCCTGTCTCATACAGCGCGATCGAGCGCCGAACGTGATCAAAATAAGCAGAAAAAAAGTATCGCGGACATAATTTATCATAACTCTGGTTTTATTTGGCCTATCAACACAATTTAAAAACTGGTATATAGGTTGAGGTCCTCACTTTTGCGATAAGTTGAAACGGAGAGTCAACGAGGCTCCGTCTTGCAGCTACATCCGGTTAAATATGTCATGTGACTTGAACGCACACACAGACACACACACACGCACACACACACACACACACACACACACACACTCAGAGTCTGGTTTTTAGCACCTGCAAAAACATGCTATTTACATATTTGACAAGAATGCAGAGGCTCCTTTTGCCCCTGAAAAAAATCAAATTTCAAACACAACTTGACTGGTCATTTCTCCAAAAGACAACCATGAAGCTCCATCCAAACCTGAAGCAGGCAGTTGGTGCATGTGTACAGTAACCTGAGGGGAGTGAGGTGAGTGCTTCTGAGGAGAACATGAGCAGTGAAGATTCACCTTGGAGCTAGAACAGAGACATGCACATGATTATACAGGGGCAGGGGCTCAAGTTTTTTCCAGTCGTTTATACAATATGGAAATTAATGTGAAATTAAAACACAAAGTATTAATAGAAAGGTAATGACTGTCCTGTGTAGGTGACAGTGATATCCAATAGGCTAGGCACTCACAAGGCTGGCTGTGGCAAGTGTAAGTGAAAGCAACACGCACTGGCAGGAAGAACAGCAAACGCCGATGAAGGAAAAGGGTCTTTGCAGTGATGGGCGTTAACAGAGAGGGCGATGGCCAGAGGACACAAATGGGACGGGGAGGCAGCACGTTGGGGGGGGGGGGGGGGCGCGACACGGCTCGGGCCCGCCAGTGCCCCAACGGGGTCCTAGTTATTATTTTTCCTCCCCTTTGAACTGGAAAATGGCCCACTTCCCACTGGCGAAAACTCATGAAATTTGGCAGGACGACCGGGCCTCGTGAAAAATTTGATATTCCGAAGTCGCCCAAACAAGAAAATGCAAAATGGCTCCATAGCGCCCCCTAAGGTGAAAATTCACACTATTGACTGTCACGCGTGTACGCTTTGTCAAAATGACACAAAAATTGACACACACATGTATCTCAATAAGATCTACGAAAAAGTCAATGCGCGCGTATCTTTCAAATGTACGGTTAAAGGGTTATTCCGCATTTTTTGCCGATCCGCACACATTGGAATTTCGCTAACTCCTCCGAAGGCTTTCGTTCCACCGGCACCACATTTGCTCAGGCCAATCTACACCCCATGGCCATTAAAAGTTATTCAAATCATGACGCTGCACCCCACGGTTTAGGTTCTAGGGGGCGCCAAAGATAACCCTAAAATCCACATATTTAAAAGTCTTATAACTTTTTATTTTTGTCCTCACTGGCCTCCAAGTTTTCTAGGATGATGCAATGTCCAGCCATCAACACATTTGTGAAGGAATTTTTACTCCCCAAAAGAGCGCCCCCCCATGGCAGGAGAAAAAAGTCAATTTTTTCTTGTCCCCTAAGGTGGAAATTCACACTATTGACTGTCACGCCTGTACGCTTTATCATATTGACACAAAAATTGACACACATATGTATCTCAATAAGATCTACAAAAAAGTCAATGCGCGCGTATCTGTCAAATGTACGGTTAAAGGGCTATTTTGCATTTTTTGCCGATTCGCACACATTGGAATGTGGCTAACTCCTCCTAAGGCTTTCGTCCCACTGACACCAAATTTGCTCAGGCCAATCTACACCCCATGGCCATTCAAATTTGTAAAAATCATGACGCTGCACCCCACGGTTTACGTTCTAGGGGGCGCCAAAGATGACCCAAAAATCCACATTCTTAAAGGAATCCACATCCCCCCCCCCCCCCACAAGGCAGGAGAAAAAGTCAAGTTAACCCTGCCCATCGCTCAATGGCTCAATCGCATCGCTCTCCAGGCAACACTGTAAGGAGGCGCAACCTGCCATTTCGATATATCATAGCTGTGTTTGTGCCCTCACTCATGGTCCAGACTTTTTTCAAATAGGACATGAAGTTTGTCTGCAGCGAGTGTTTTGGTAGAAACTGCGCCTCCCATTCATTATAATGGGAAATGACCACAGACAAGTGCGCACACCATCTTTGGACCTTGAGTGTGACGCGATCGGGTGGGGGAGGCGGTCGCGCTGGGGGCGGCGCGACACGGCTCGGGCCCGCCAGTGCCCCAACGGGGCCCTAGTTCTTTCTTTCTTTCTTCTTTTTCCTCCCCTTTGAACTGGAAAATGGCCCACTTCCCACTGGCGAAAACTCATGAAATTTGGCAGGACGACCGGGCCTGGTGAAAAATTCGATATTCTGAAGTCGCCCAAACAATAAAATGCAAAATGGCTCCATAGCGCCCCCTAAGGTGGAAATTCACACTATTGACTGTCACGCCTGTACGCTTTGTCATATTGACACAAAAATTGACACACATATGTATCTCAATAAGATCTACAAAAAAGTCAGTGCGGCCGTATCTGTCAAAATTACGGTTAAAGGGTTATTTCGCATTTTTTGCCGATCCGCACACATTGGAATTTCGCTAACTCCTCCGAAGGCTTTCGTTCCACCGGCACCACATTTGCTCAGGCCAATCTACACCCCGTGGCCATTAAAAGTTATCAAAATCATGACGCTGCACCGCAAGGTTTAGGTTCTAGGGGGCGCCAAAGATAACACTAAAATCCACATATTTAAAAGTCTTATAACTTTTTATTTTTGTCCTCACTGGCCTCCAAGTTTTCTAGGATGATGCAATGTCCAGCCATCAACACATTTGTGAAGGAATTTTTACTCCCCAAAAGAGCGCCCCCCCATGGCAGGAGAAAAAAGTCCATTTTTTCTTGTCCCCTAAGGTGAAAATACACATTGTTGAGTGTCACGCCTATACGCTTTGTCAAAATGACACAAAAATTGACACACACATGTAACTCAATAAGATCTACAAAAAAGTCCATGCGCGCGTATCTGTCAAATGTACAGTTAAAGGGTTATTCCGCATTTTTTGCCGATACGCACACATTGGAATTTCGCTAACTCCTCCGAAGGCTTTCGTTCCACCGGCACCACATTTGCTCAGGCCAATCTACACCCCATGGCCATTAAAAGTTATTCAAATCATGATGCTGCACCCCATGGTTTAGGTTCTAGGGGGCGCCAAAAATAACCCAAAAATCCACATTCTTAAATGTTTTATAACTTTTTATTTTTGTCCTCACTGGCCTCCAAGTTTTCTAGGATGATGCAATGTCCAGCCATCAACACATTTGTGAAGGAATTTTTACTCCCCAAAAGAGCGCCCCCCCATGGTAGGAGAAAAAAGTCAATTTTTTCTTGTCCCCTTACATAAAAATACACATTGTTGAGTGTCACGCCTGAACGCTTTGTCATATTGACACAAAAATTGACAATCATGTGTATCTCAATTAGATCTACGAAAAAGTCAAAGAGCGCGTATCTGTATAATGTACGGTTAAAGGGCTATTTTGCATTTTTTGCCGATTCGCACACATTGGAATGTGGCTATCTCCTCCTAAGGCTTTCGTCCCACCGATACCAAATTTGCTCAGGGCAATCTACACCCCATGCCCATTCAAAGTTGTAAAAATCATGACGCTGCACCCCACGGTTTACGTTCTAGGGGGCGCCAAAGATGACCCAAAAATCCACATTCTTAAAAGTCATTTTGGCCACTGCAGGAGTACAGAGTACTGCAGTTCTAGGGGGCGCCAAAGATGACCCAAAAATCCACATTCTTAAAAGTCTTTTTGGCCACTGCAGGAGTACAGAGTACTGCAGGATACACACACATATACACACACGCCAACATACACACACACACACACACAGACACACACACACACAGACACACACACACACTCAGAGTCTGTTTTTTAGCACCTGCAAAAACATGCTGTTTACATATTTGACAAGAATGCAGAGGCTTCCTTTTGCCCCTGAAAAAAATCAAATTTCAAACACAACTTGACTGTTCATTTCTCCAAAAGACAACCATGAAGCTCCATTTCAAACCTGAAGCAGATAGTTGGTGCATGTGTACAGTAACCTGAGGGGAGTGAGGTGACTATTTCTGAGGAGAACATGAGCAGTGAAGATTCACCTTGGAGCTAGAACAGAGACATGCACATGATTATACAGGGGCAGGGGCTCAAGTTTTTTCCAGTCGTTTATACAATATGGAAATTAATGTGAAATTAAAACACAAAGTATTAATAGAAAGGTAATGACTGTCCTGTGTAGGTGACAGTGATATCCAATAGG